CCTGCCTCAGTCTCCCGAGTAGCTGGGATTACAGGCTTGAGCCACCACGCCCGGCCATATTTTTTTATTTTTGAGACAGAGTCTCGCTTTGTTGCTCAGGCTGGAGTACATTATGGGCACAATCATAGCTCACTGCAGGTTCAACCTCCATGGGCTCAGGTGATCCTCCCACCTCAGCCTCCCAGTAGCTGGGACCACAGGTGAGCGCCACCTACGCTTGGCTAATTTTTGCATTTTTTGTAGAGATGGGGCTTTACCATATTGTCCAAGCTGGTCTCGAACTTCTGAGCTCAAGCCATCCGCCCACTTAGCCTCCCAAAGTGCTGGGATTACAGGTGTGAGCCACACCTGGCTGTAAGAAAGAGCCTGTTTCTTGAAGCATTATACATTACGTTTTCCAGATTTCATGAGTAGAAGCTCTTTATTGACTGACTACACAAAAGGGAAAGATCTTGTTCCAGAACTAAAGTTTAAGCTCATGCTGGGGAACAGCAGTGGTGAATAATTGTTTAATTCAAGGAATAGTGGGCAAAAGCATTGTTATTTACTTCTTCATTCTGGCAACAGTAGTCCCTCTTTCAAAAGGGAAAACGTGAAAAAAAAAAAAAAAAAAAACCCCATCCACTCAAAAGTTTCAGGGGCTAATTTATGCTGTAACTACCTTTAATGGTTCCCATGATTTAAGATCCAATTCAGTAGTGACAACCAGTTGATTTTTTTCAAATCATGTAGTGCCATTAACATTTTATACTTTGTTTCAAAGGTCACATAGTGATGTTCTCCCCCAGTTCAAGGCAGTGTGTATTATGTATGCCAAGGGTTATGTAACTACAATTTCTGGAAATGGTAAACAGCTGAGACTAACCCTAAAAATAAATTCCTCTGGGATTTTTTTTATGTGAAAATTCATCTGCCCTCACTGCAGGTTCATCATTACAAAAATCACTGTTTAGATCAAGCCAAGAGACAGAGAAGTCATCAGGATCTCTCCTGTCTCCTTCCTATAGCGGCTGTGCTTCCCCTCTCCATCTCTCTGGTATGTACACACGCACACACATTCTTTATGCCAGGAGCTTTTCCAGATCTTCACTACACAATGGGAAGTCTGGAGAAGGAAAGCTCATTCCTATCAGATGTTGGGAGAGGAACCATAAAAGACTTATATTTACTTATTTATATCTAGTACCTTCTCCAGTGATCCACAGTCATCTTTGGACCTAAATCCTGTTATTCTACCAATAGGTTGAGCAGATTTGGATATTCCTAATTTTGGTTCCAAATAAACAGGCAGTATTTACCTAGCTTCAAAGTTTGGAGAAATTTTTTTCCATGAACATTTTGCTATTTTTCAAATATGGGGACAATTGAACTGGGGAGAGGATATAGGATAGAAAACCCTTAAAAATGATAAAATTATTATTATTTTTTTTTGCTTCTGAATTGAAATTCAAATCTGAATACTATTTGTTGTATTGTTTTTTTGTTGTTGTTTGTTTTTTTGAGACGGAGTCTCGTTCTGTTGCCCAGGCTGGCATGCAGTGGAGTGATCTCGGCTCACTGCAACCTCCGCATCCCAGGTTCAAGTTATTCTCCTGCCTCAGCCTTCCGAGTAGCTGAGATTACAGGCGCCCGCCACTACGCCCGGCCAATTTTTTGTATTTTTAGTAGAGACGGGGTTTCACCACGTTGGCCAGGCTGGTCTCGAACTCCTGACTTTGTGATTCACCTGCCTCAGCCTCCCAAAGTACTGGGATTATAGGCCGGAGCCACTGCGCCCAGCTTATTTGTTGTATTGTTAAATAAATGTCTATTATTAGCTAAACTTTTCTATTGTAGCTTTTATATTTTCCTCTATATTACATGAAGGTGCCAACTAAATTTAATATTAGAAACAACTATGAATTTTAACTAACTCATACATAAGATCATAGAAATGTTGCGTATCAAACAGTACCAAAGGGCACTTCTGCATAAACTAGATAACTGCCAGGGCCTACACCCTTCCTTTTCAATCGGGACTATCACACCCTCCCCACTTCTCAATCAAGGGACTGTCAGGGATCATCAGAGTAACAGAAAATCTAAAGCTTCCAACCTCCAAAAAACAGAGCTGGCAGCCAGGCACGATGACTCATGCGTGTAATCCCATAACTCTGGGAGGCCGAAAGGCTAGTGGATCACTTGAGCCCAGGAGTTTCAGACCAGCTTGGGCAATATAGTGAGACCCTGTCTCTACCAAAGGAAAAAAAAACACAAAAATTAGCCAGGCATGGTGGTGCATGCCAGTAGTCCCAGCTACTAGAACGGCTGAGGTGGGAGGATTGCTTGAACCAGGGAGGTCAAGGCTGAAATGTTCAGTGATCGCACCACTGCACTCCAGCTGGGTGGCACAGCGAGACTCTGTCTTAAAAAAACAAAGCGAGTTCATAAGACAGGTGCAGTGGCTGACGCCTATAATCCCAGCACTTTGGGAGGTCAAGGCAGGAAGATTGCTTGAGGCCAAGAGTTCAAGACCAGCCTAGGCAACACAGCAAGACCACATCCCTACAGAAATTAATATATATAAAATACATAGTTCATATAAAAGACCATGAAATATAGCTCATTTTGACTGGTCAAGCCTTCCTCTGCCCAGTCACAGATACACGTGAACAATTCACAAAAAACAGCTTATAAATAAAACCCAAACCACCCTTAATATACATTTCATCTTGATTTCTCTGCCTTGAGAGTTCACCTGTGTAGAAGATTAAGCATGAAATTAATCATATTATAGTTAAAATGCCCAATTGCACTTAGGACTTTTTCACTGTCTATAACACAAGTTTTTTGTTGTTGTTGTTGTTTTTGAGACCAAGTTTGACTCTTGTCATCCGAGGCTAAAGTGCAATGGCATGATCTCAACTTATCGTAGCCTCCACCTCCCGAGTTCAAGCAATTCTCCTGCCTCAGTCTCCCGAGTAGCTGGGATTACAGGCATGCGCCGCCACGCCCAGCTAACTTTGTATTTTTACTAGAGACAGGGTTTCTCCATGTTGGTCAGGCTGGTCTCGAACTCCCAACCTCAGGTGATCCACCGGCCTCAGCCTCCCAAACTGCTGGGATCACAGGCGTGAGCCACCGTGCCTAACTACCACAAGTTTTGAAGTGTTTCAAATTCGTCTCTTGGTGAGACTTATGTGTAAAAGGAATACTAACAAGTCAGTAAGTTTAGCTCAACCTCTGGAATAAGAATTCATCTAAGTCTTCTAATCCAATTGTAAGAAGCAAGGAAGCAAATTTTAAATCATTGAGTATTGACTTTTTATTATTAGTCACTGTTCATAATTTGTTTCAACCAAAAGACAATACACACAGCAGAATTCTAATGCATCCCATGTAAATGTTTACATCCATTTTATTCCTCACTCGCCTCTAAGACTTATCATTTAATTTTAAATTTTTTTTTTACATCTCAAAAATATGTCTGCAATAATTAGAGCTTCATTAGCTGTCCCACTTGGAAACAGCTTCTTAATATTTTTACAGTAAAGAAGATGTGATGGGGCATAATGAAAATGTAACTTACAACACTATGAAAGAAAAGGGACTTTATAGGAACACAGTGGGAGTTCATAAAGGAAAGAGTTCAGAAGCTCTTTCCCATGGGGCCCCCAAATAGAAACCAAAAACAAAAACAAAACACACAAAGCGCAACCGCAGGTTCTTTGAGGAAAAAAAAAAACAAAAAACAAAAAACCAACTCCAATGCTCCATCTTGAAGCCAGAATCAGCGTCTTGGAAGTTTGTAAAGCAACTGTGCAAGCTGCTTCAGCATTTCCTTCTGTTAAAGTGTTCCAGGTCCTGAAACCCTGTCAATGGGACCCACTCACTGCTATTGCTTGAAAAAGTTATTCACTTCCAGTTCTATACGCAGCCCCCCTCTCCCGAGCCAAAGCTGGTCAAAAGTGTTTTAAACTTCAGGACTTTCTGTGCAATTCTCTCTCCAATGATCCTCCCCACTCCCAAAGTCATGAATACACAGACATGTAAAACCACTCTCCCAACAGCAAAGTTCATGAACACCCACTTTTTCCTCTCTAGCTTTCTCAGTTTAGGACACTGTGGTTAAAATACATTCACTAGAAAAAAATATACACATTCAAACTCCTTTCCCCTAGTTCTCATGGCCCAAATATTTTCCAATGCAGAAGACAATGAAGTTGAACCTTGAAAGCAGTACTCCCTAACTTCCAATCTCTTCTACGACATAAAAAAAATGGGAAGCATGTTATAGAAATCATTAGTGTTGGACAGTTTTAAAAGTCTATTTTCATATATGAATGGGACAAACAAGGAGTACGAATCACACCTTTAAACCAGCAAGAGGAAAGAATCCCCTCCCAAATGTTACACTGAGGAATGTTTAAATGAGAAAGACCTTAAAATTAACAGATGATCACTATGCACAGCCTAAAACTTCCATGACTGTCCAAACCACCTCAAGGAAACAGCACCAAAGCACTATGGGAGAAGCTTCTCTGGGAGAGCACCCTTCCTACAGTTTTTTGAGATTACTTAGATGAATTAATTCTCCCTTAGGATTCCCCGGGATGGGGCAGAGACTAGAATAAATCGACTCTTGAAGAGGGAAATAATGAGGTACAAGTGCATGTGAAATTGTCAAAGTAAGTGTGTGAGGGCTCACTGCTTATCACCCCAGGGTTATTAAAAGAGCCTTGGAAAATGCTCTTTCCTCACAATGCCTCTGAAGTTGTAAATCCATCCCAATTTGCTCCCCCTTGAGTGGTTATACTCGGGAAAGGAATTATTGAAATGTGCAAGTATTCACAGAAATTGAAACATTTCTCCATTTAGCTGCAAGGCCAAGTGAGAGGAAAACTAATTCTGATCCTAGAAACTAAGGCACGCTGAAGCTTTCAAAGATCCAATCATTTGAAACAGTCTTCACAACCATCAGTATCCTAGGCAGTTATTTGGCTGCTAGTCCTTCAGTATGGTGCTTGTGTTCAGATTCCGAAATCAATTCATATTCTACGCAGCACCCTTTGTGTTAAGGCCATGATATTTTACTCCTTCTAGACAAAGCTATGAATGATCATAAACTCTACCTCAAAACTATGATCATCCAAGGAAATGCTTTGTCAGCAGAGTAGACCCTTCCCAGCTCCGTTAGCTGACAGTGTCTTATAGCATGGTCTTGAACAGATTTCTTCAGAAATTCAACCCAGTTCAAATAAAAAAACCTGAGCTGGTTAGCTACAAATATAAGAGAGAAAATAAAGCCTCTACACAAAGAGGAATGTTAAGACAAATTCTATTCAAGAAATCCACCAACATTATGTTAATCCTATCATGTTTCACAGCATTAAATATCCATCCAATGAAATCAGTCTGCAAAGAAACCCTTAAAGGCTATTTTTCATTGCACAGGCAGAGCAGTTGTCTGAAATATGCACTAGTCCACACTTACATTACTGAAAACTATGCAGGAGATAATATCCTGTTCTTGACTCGGTCAACCATTTACCCACTGGAGTAAGTTTTAGCAGATCTTGCTCATACATCCTAATAAGAGCAGGAACTTTCCCCTGTGGAGCCTTTAGTTCAACTCCAGTTTGTCAAATGTTAGGAATAGTCCAGCATCTGATACAGAGCTAGATTTGACAAGATACTGAAGATTTTAAGTAAAGGCTTGGTGAAATGAAGAGGAAAAAAAAAGGATATTTGTTTCCAGGTTTAAGATTGAAGCCATAGTAGTCATTATACTGTATTCAATACAGTAACAATTGCAAACATTGTTAAGTGCAAGGTGGGCCTCACTTTTTCTTTCTTCAGTATATAAGACACGGCGCCTGAATACTTGAACGTACATAGTACATTCAACGTGTACCACAGAGAGAGTCACCTCTACTTCACTCCAGCTACTCAATTTCAAAGTTTGATAACACATGGGTCCTTTCTTAAAAGCACTTGGCACTCTCACTAGTTTAAAAAGCTCAAGTCTTTGATGTGGATACTCATGAGATTTGTCTTTTAAAAGAGACCAATTTCTCAGACTGAGGAAAGGTTATTCCTACCCTATGGTGTCTGTAAGACCTCCTCTGACATAGGGGTATGGAAGCTACAAGGCTTCACTCCAACACCATAAAGTACAATATAGGAAAGATTTCTTTAACCGTGTGGTCTTTATTTCAGTGCCAGTGTTACAGATACAACACAAATGTTCCAGTTAGAAGGAATTCAAACGGAATGCCAAGGTCCAAGCCAGGCTCAGGAAATAAAAAGGGAGGTTTGGAGTAATAGATGACTCCAATACTCACTCTTCCTAAGGGCAAAGGTACTTTTGATACAGAGTCTGATCTTTAAAACTGGTGAACTCCTCTTCCACCCATTACCATAGTTCAAACAGGCAAGTTATGGGTTTAGGAGCACTTTAAAATTTGCGGTGGGAACAGGGTCATTAATAACTATGAATATATCTTTTAGAAGGTGACCATTTTGTACTTTAAAGGGAATCAGTTTTGAATATCATGGAAACTATTCATGACGACAGCTAAAGAATGGAGCGAAAGGGGAGCTGGAAGAGCCTTGGAAGTTTCTATTACAAATAGAGCACCATATCCTTCATGCCAAATCTCAACAAAAGCTCTTTTTAACTCCATCTGTCCAGTGTTTACAAAAACTCGCAAGGTCTGACCAGTTCTTGATAACAAACATACATGTGTGTCTGTGTGTATACAGCAATGCACAGAATAGGCTACCAGGAGCCTAATGCCTCTTTCAAACATTGGGGGAACCAGTAGAAAAAGGCAGGGCTCCCTAATGTCCATTATTACATTTCCATTCCAAATACCAGATGTTGAAAGCGCCTGAAGATGGTAACCCAGCTAGTGAGGAATAAATACCCCACCTTGCCCAGTCCACAGAGAAACAACAGTAGAAAGAAGGGGCAACTCTTTGCTGCAGAGACAAAGTGAGTGTTTTTCGCCATGGATTGCAGTCCTCTCCTCCAGACCAGCTGCTTATTTCCTCAGGGGCCCAGGGAATGTTGATTCTGGCTGTAAATGTGGGAGGGGTGGAGCAGTGCGGAAAAAGGAGAAGAAGAGAAGAGTGCAAAGTAGCCTCCAGAAGCAGCCAGCCTCAACAGTGGAGGAGAGGACATTAGTCTTTAACAATGCTTCAAGGTCAGCAGTAACTTTAGGAAAATCCTCCTCAGCAGTTCTCTTCAGCTCCTCATGCCCGTGGTACAGTTGGGGGGACTTGCCAGGAATCACAACCTCCTTCCCAGAGTTCCTTTGATTGAGTGGGATAAGAATGAGAATGGTGCCAAACCCTCATTGCCAGGACTGAGGGGGAAAGTTGTTCACCTCTGCTAGATCTTGCATTGCTGAGCCCTTGTGATTATATGTGAGCTTGATCCGCATTCGCAGCTGTTGCTATAAGGGGAAAAGAGAAGTGCAAATTATATATTGAAATAAAATCTCCAGCATCTGTCCAGTCCACAAATAGACTTTTAATCTTAGAGGTCAAAACTTGAAGTAAAGCTGTCTGTTAAGAATGACACACAGGCAAACAACAACAAAAAAAACACCCAGTACTCTAGGCTTCAGTCAAGAAGCTAACAACATCATGCCACCAAGTAGAGAAAGCGCATCTCCAGAACACGTGGTTAGCTTTAATCCTTGAACTGCATTAAAAGGACAGAACCCCTCAGGAACATTTTTCTTTTCTTTTGGAAACAGGGTTTTGCTCTTACTGCCCAAGCTGCAGTGTAGTGGCATGATCTTGGCTCACTGCAACCCCTGCCTCCCGAGTTCAAGCAATTCTCCTGCCTCAGCCTCCAGAGTAGCTGGGATAACAGGCGCCCACCACCACGCCAAGCTAGTATTTTTATTTTTAGTAGAGACGGGGTTTCACCATGTTGGCCAGACTGGTCTCGAACTCCTGACCTCAGGTGATACGGCCGCCTCAGCCTCCTACAGTGCTGGGAATACAGGCGTGAGCCACTGTGGAGCATTTTCCACATAACATTTTGCTGAGTCCTTTTCAAAAAGATTCTAGCCTTGTATCCAAGTCTCTTAAAAAATGAGATGAACATATACTCATCATATGCTCTCCATTCAGATATACTGTTGCTTTGTCTGAAAAATCTACAGTAAATGTGAATGTGCCTTTTGTTCCTAAGGCATAAAATGTTTAAAAATGACTTAACTCACAGGTAACAGCAGTAGTTTTTTTTTTTTGTTTTTTTTTTTTTTGAGACGGAGTCTCGCTCTGTCGCCCAGGCTGGAGTGCAGTGGCCGGATCTCAGCTCACTGCAAGCTCCGCCTCCTGGGTTCACGCCATTCTCCAGCCTCAGCCTCCCGAGTAGCTGGGACTACAGGCGCCCGCCACCTCGCCCGGCTAAGTTTTCATATTTTTTAGTAGAGACGGGGTTTCACCGTGTCAGCCAGGATGGTCTCGATCTCCTGACCTCGTGATCCGCCTGTCTCGGCCTCCCAAAGTGCTGGGATTACAGGCTTGAGCCACCGCGCCCGGCCAACAGCAGTAGTTTTAAGAGAACTCAATTAAGTACTTTTTACTTTATGTGGCAGATTTCAAATACAAATGCACTAAGAAATGTTTTACTCTCAGATGGTCAAAGGAATTTGTGCTTGTACTATAGAGGCAGATGCTCAAAATATAGTGAATAGCAGAGGAAGGGCAAGTGTTACAAGAGAAGGAAAGTATACTGTTATTTATGAGCAACTAGTAGAGCTCTATTAAAGAAATTCTCTGAACCATTTTCAAAAACTGTTTGAAAACCAATTGATTACTATTAAGGTGAGTTTATTTCTTTGAGATAATAAAAATATTGCTTAATTTCAGTTTCTAAAGCTATTTTTCATTTGGCTGCTTCATTTAAAATGCCTCCATTTTTGCTATTCATTCTTAATAACTGTAGCAGTAAATGTAGATATTTGGTTTCAACAAATGCTCTTACCTCAGATTTCAACTTGTGTATAAATTAAAATGTCTAAGCTTCTCCCCTACCCCCCAAAACTAGACCTTTAATCTAGCTTTTTTTGAAGTTGCATTTTAATAAGATGCCACTAAGCCACCTGATGGCTCTGGGTTCCATTTGTTATTTATAAAAGAGCAAGGAAGTTAGACCAGGCATTTTCATTGATCTCTTCTCTAACTATGAGTCAGAAAAAAGAAACAAAGCAGAATTTTATTTCAGGAAATATGCTTACACTTCAGCTCAGATACTGGCTACAAATGTGCTACTCACCTTCTGAGGGTTCAGAACTTTAATGACTTGTGTGATGGTCCCCGTGTTAAATGCTGGGACAATGCTGCTGCTAGGAGACAAAAGCTGCAGCTGGAATGTCTAGGGGGGAACAAAGGGCACTCTTCAGAAAAAGAAACACACAATGCTAGGTCAGAGATATCAAAAAACATTTAGACAGCCAGATGATGGGTCATGTAACAGAGTTCACTACTACTAAGTTTTGCCTACTACTTGTTTTCTAGATATCAGGAATTCACAGCACGTGAACTGACTCACTGTGGTATTTGTAAAAATCCACTGTTCAGTTCTTTGATCATGACCACTAGCAATAAACCACATTCTCCTTTCTGGAAGAAGGAATTTTAGCCTACCTCTTTTCAGAAGCTGACCAATTCTTGTTCTGGCAACTTCACTTAATAGTAACTGTTCAACTATGCAGGTAAAATATGGGTGCTTTTGGCTTAAAAAACCGGCAGAAAGAAACCAAAAGAAAAGCTTTCCAAAAATAGCAAACCAACATACGGGTCACCAACTATGAGCTTTTAAACTTTTGTGTGATTGGATGACTGGGACCCAGAGACTTGAACTTTTGTTTTTTAAAGCCTGCATAATCTAGAATGTGTCAGAGCCTCCTCTCCACATGACAGAGGAAAGGAAAGACTTGCAGAACCAGCCTATACAGCAAAAGACCTAGATAAGCCAAACACTATTACTTTGTTGAATGCTGGTAGGGTATATTTGCTTACTTATAGAAATAAGAGATGAAAGTGCTGGCCAGGCACGGTGGCTCACGCCTGTAATCCCAGCACTTTGGGAGGTCAAGGCTGGTGGATCACGAGATCAGGAGTTCGAGACCAGCCTGGCCAACACAGTGAAACCCCGTCTGTACTAAAAATACAAAAATTAGCTGAGCGTGGTGGCACATGCCTGTAGTCCCAGCTACTTGGGAGGCTGAGGCAGGAGAATCGCTTGAACCCAGGAGGTGGACATTGTAGTGAGCCAAGATTATGCCACTGCACTCCAGCCTGGGCAACACAGCAAGACTCCGTCTCAAAAAAAAAAAAAAAAAAAAGTGCTATATAGGGCAAGCTAGGTAAACCACACTGTACTATGTAGCTATTCTATAAACTAGAATTTGAAAATCTTTCCTAAAAGTAGATTAAACTTTTAAAATATTTAAGAGACAGAGAGAGAGACACTAGTCTTCTCTAGGGCCAAAAGTTACAAGAGTGAAGATTCACTCTCAACGTACAGATATATTACACTGGGGGCTGGGCACGGTATTCTCAGCACTTTGGGAGGCCGAGGCAGGCAGATCACCTGAGGTCAGGAGATCTAGATTAGTCTGGTCAACATGGCGAAACCACATCTCTACTAAAAATACAAAAATTAGCCGGGTATGGTGGCGCCTGCCTGTAATCCCAGCTACTCAGGAGGCTGAGGCAAGAGATTTGCTTGAACCCAGGAGGCGGAGGTTGCCTGGGTGACAGAGTGAGACTCCATCTCAAAAAAAAAAAAAAAAAAAAAAAAAAAGGCTGGGCGCAGTGGCTCAAGCCTGTAATCTCAGGACTTTGGGAGGCCAAGACGGGCGGATCACAAGGTCAGGAGATCGAGAGCATCCTGGCTAACCCGGTGAAACCCTGTCTCTACTAAAAAATACAAAAAAACTAGCCAGGCGAGGTGGCGGGCGCCTGTAGTCCCAGCTACTCGGGAGGCTGAGGCAGGAGAATGGCGTAAACCCGGGAGGCGGAGCTTGCAGTGAGCTGAGATCCGGCCACTGCACTCCAGCCTGGGTGACACAGCAAGACTTCATCACGAAGAAAAAAAAAGTTATATATATACACATATAAAATTATAAAAATATTGGGTCTTATTCATAATTCTACTGCCACATTAAATTATGTAAGCTAAAATATTATTCATTACTACATTTCATTAAATGTAAGATACCATCAATTGTAATTCACACCATTATTTTATGTACCACTGAGATAGAAAACATGCTGCCCATTGAATTATGACAAGATACCAATTTTAAAATGTACCCCAATTTCAGAAACATTAAAACACAAAAATAGTACATAGTAGAACCTATAAAATATGATATTTTAAGTTGAAAATACATTATCATGCTGCACTCTACAGTACACCACCAAAAATAAGGTCATGGTTTAATAGCAGAGGTGATAAGTCACTGGAGCAGCAGCCTAAAGTAACAAGTATAAAACCTAAGTTGCAGAACGTAAATATACTGAGCACTGAACAGATGAAAAGTGCTTCAAACAGTGCCTAATTCAAAAAACTTGTTTATTCCTTTAAGCAACCTTAGGAAGTGGCTATCTTTATCACCACCCTCTTTGCAAATGAAGACACCAAGGAATGGAGGTTCAGTGACTTTCTTCATGTCATACAACTAGTATTGAAATCTAAACAGAATGGCTCTAGAGTTCATTAGTGGTCTTTCCACTTGACACTACTGCTCCCCCTTTTTTTTCTTCTTTTTTTTTTTGGACAGGGTCTGACTCTATCACCCAGGGTCTCACTCTATCACCCAGGCTAAAGTGCAGTGGCACGACCTTGGCTCACTGCCACTTCCACCTCCTGGGTTCAAGTGATTCTGCCACCTCAGCCTCCTGAGTAGCTGGGACCACAGGCACACACCATCGCGCCTGGCTAATTTTTCGTATTTTTGGTAGAGATGGGGTTTCACCATGTTGCCCAGGCTGGTCTCAAACTCCTGAGTTCAAGCAATCCACCCTCCTCAGCCTGCCAAATTGCTGGGATTACAGGTGTGAGCCACCGTGTCCAGCTAACTGCTTCTTAAACATCTAAATTATTCTGACTTCTACAAAGTGTAAGCAAAGAAGGTTGCATGAGAGTCAGAGGATGGGGAAAAAATTAAAAAAGACTGCAAATCAGCAGTACCCACAAACAAAACATCCTCAGTTTCCAAAAGTGTGTTGTCAGAATGTCTAAATGCCGTATTTCACATGCCACTGCCAAGATTAGGTTAGCACAGTCTAAACCAGTGGTTGGCAAACTATGGCCCATTGGCCAAGAATGGCCCAACATCTGATTTTGCAAATAACATTTTATTGGAACAGAACTATGTTCATTCATTTATATGTCATCTACAGCTGTTTCTGTACTATAAGAGCAGAACTGAGTATCAATAAAGACCAGATAGCAGCCTAAAATACTTACTGTCTCATCTTTTCAAGAAAAACTACCCACTCCTCATTCTCAACTTTTCTTTATTCAGAATTCTTTGTTTCTTTTGAGATGGAGTCTCGCTCTGTCACCTAGGCTGGAGTGCAGTGGCATAATAATCTCACCTCACTGCATCCTCAGCCTCCTGGGTTCAAGCGATTCTCCTGCTTCATCAGCCTCCCGAGTAGTTAGGATTAGAGGAACCCGCCACCATGCCCGGCTAATTTTTTTTTTGTACTCTTAGTAGAGACGAGAGTTTCACCACGTTGGCCAGGTTCTCGAACTCCCGATCTCAAGTGATCTGCCTGCCTCAGCCTCCCAAAGTACTGGGATTACAGCCGTGAGGCACTGCACCCGGCTTCAAGACTTTTCACTACTGAAAAATGAACATAAATATCCTTAAACTAAAATTTGGTGTAAACCAAACTTTGATTCACAAGAACAGTTACTATATCTATAATAAATTGGATGTTAATGAAGGAGGAATGTTTCTCTCACTTATGTATCAAGACACAAAAAATTTCAATTCTGATCTGGTTAACTAGAAGATAATACCAGATAGACAAAGTCTCTCATCTTACTTTACTTTCATCCTATGCCAGATTTTATGTTTTTAGGCCTTTAACACTGTATTACTAAAGCCTAACCTATCCTCAATGCCCTGAGCATTAACTGATCACCTCGTAGAATTCTGCTCTCACTAGTATTAGAATTGTTTTTCTTTATCCTACAATACTAACCATCAGAATACTTGTAACCTAGTAAAAATTATTCACTAAAAATGATATGCTTCCATGAACCATAGGTAACTTATTGTTAGTTTGAATTAAGTCTGTAAAAATTAAAACATATCCTTTACCAAACACATGAAAAAAAAATCAGCCGATCTTTAATCAAAGGAAACATCTAAAGAAGACATTGTAGTACCTTTGGTACTGCAGCCTGGAAAACAAAGTCCGTCATATCTAGCTCTGTGCTGTTGGAGGCCTGTATCGTTATCACTGTTACACTGGGGTTGGTATTCGACCGTTCAAAGGTGAATTCTATCTTCAAGCCATTCTTACTGTATGCTGTGATGGAGGGGATGCCTGAGAAAGTACAGGGAGATAAGTCTTATTGTAGTCAGCCTAATGCTTGCAGAATTATTACTTCTTTTTCTTAATAACCACCTCATTACTCAGTGCTCCATGTAATGATGGTAACAACAGTCATCGTACCTGCAGCAATATCATTGAAGAGAGGCTGTGATGAAAGCCCATCCAACAAGAAGGGGGGCTGGGATATCTGTGGGACTGAGGCAGGGGCAGGAGCAGCAGCTGGAGCACCTAAAGGAAATATTTCAATGGAAAGTTAACCTTAGAGAGCATGACAAAGCTTATCGAGAAATTATAGGGAAAATTACTTCAATCTCAGGTTGAGGAAAAGATTCCTTAAACAAGATGCAAAAAGCACAGACCACAAAGAGAAAGAACTAAAAACTCAAGTACTTTAAAACAAGCAACTTCTGTTTATTAAAAAATACTGTAAGAAAAAGTACAGTCTGAGCAACATGGCAAGACCGTCTCTACAAAAAAAATAAATAAATACAAAAATTAGCCAGGCATGGTGGTGTGCGCCTGTAGTCCCAGCTACTTGAGAGACTGCAGTGGGAGGATCACTGGAGCCGGAAAAGTTGAGGCTGCAGTAAGCTGTGATTGTACCACTGTACTCCAGCCTGGGGGACACAGCGAGACCCTGTCACCAAAAAAAAAGGTAAAGAGAGAGAGCCCACAGACGTGAGAAAACATTTGCTGTAAGTATCCAAATGATACTGTCTTCTATAAACCAATAAGAAATGGATAAGCCAATTTAAAAGTGTCAAGATATAAAAACAAGCAAGTCACAAAAGAGGAAACCTGAATGAAAAGGGAATCTTACAAAAATATGCTCAATTTTACCAGTAATGATGGAAGTGGAATTTAAAATTATAGTGAGATACTACCTCATGTCTATCAGAATGGTGAAAATTTCGATACCTGATAATTCCAGACGTTGGCAAGAATATGGAACAATGGGAAATTTTAAGCTCTGCTATAGGAAGGTAAACTGGCACAACCAATCTAGAGAGTAATTTGGCAGCAGTAGAGCTGAACATCAGTATATCCTTAAACTGAGGTTTCTCAACCTTGACAGTAACAGCTTTTAGGCTTCCTAATTCTTTGTTGTAGGGGGCTGCCTTGTTTATTGTAGGATATTAAGTAGCATCCCTGGGCTTTTATGCATTAGACAGTAGCATCCTCCCAGTTGTAACAACCAAAAATATCTTGACACTGCCAACCTCTGGAGGGCACAATCTTCCCCAGTTGAGAACCCATTACCCCTTCTTAGGAATGCTTTTAATTAATTCTTGCATGTGTTCACTAGGAGATACATCCAAAAGCATTTATAGCAGGAACACTTCTAATGGTGAAATACTGGAAACAACCAAAATATCATCTTGATAATGAATAAGTAAACTGATATATTGATATACTAAAATACTACACATGTACAACAGTAAAAAGTGAGTTCCCTAGAAATACACTTAACATGGATTATTCATAACTCATTCTCACAATTACAATGTTTAGCAAAAACAGGTGCAGAAAAGAACACATTCAGTTGGATACCATGTCTAAAAAGATAAAAACTGGCAAAACAATACTATGTACTATATCAAGAAATGCACAGGAATGGCAAACACCAATGTTAAACATTACTTTAGGATAGACAGTAGTTACCTCTGGAATCAAAAAGAAATGGGATGAGGCCGGGCGCGGTGGCTCAAGCCTGTAATCCCAGCACTTTGGGAGGCCGAGGCGGGTGGATCACGAGGTCAGGAGATCGAGACCATCCTGGCTAACATGGTGAAACCCCGTCTCTACTAAAAATACAAAAAAAAAAACTAGCCGGGCGTGGTGGCGGGCGCCTGTAGTCCCAGCTACTCGGAGGCTGAGGCAGGAGAATGGCGTGAACCTGGGAGGCGGAGCTTGCAGTGAGCCGAGATCGCGCCACTGCACTCCAGCCTGGGTGACACAGCGCGAGACTCCGTCTCAAAAAAAAAAAAAAAAAAAAAAAAAATGGGATGAGAGGGAAATACACAACGAACATCAACCCTCTTAATATTTAATTTTACAAACTAGGTAGATCAAAACACTCATTGAATTTTGTAGATGTTAAATGCTGTATAACAAATTTTAACACACACACACACACACACACACACACACACACACACACACACACACACACACACACACACCCCTCTGTGAGGGGTGGTATAAAGTGGGGTGGGAAAAAGAAATAGATTACCATTCTTATTTAATCTTTCCAAGTAAGAACAACTTGACAATCACACAATAGAAGATAATTCATAGAACATGAGGGAAATCAAGATTCGAAGCAGCAGCATAAGAAAATACAGTAAAAGTAAGAGAATGTATTTATATATATATATACACACATATATATATATATATATATTTTTTTTTTTTTGAGACGGAGTCTTGCTCTGTCGCCCAGGCTGGAGTGCAGTGGCGCTATCTGGGCTCACTGCAAGCTCCGCCTCCTGGGTTCATGCCATTCTCCTGCCTCAGCCTCCCGAGTAGCTGGGACTACAGGCACCCGCCACCTCGTCCGGCTAGTTTTTTGTATTCTTTTTAGTAGAGACGGGGTTTCACCATGTTAGCCAGATGGTCTCAATCTCCTGACCTCATGATCCGCCTGTCTCGGCCTCCCAAAGTGCTGGGATTACAGGCTTGAGCCACCGCGCCCAGCAAGAATGTATTTTATATTTAAATAGATTTCAAACTACTTGTGAAATTAACTGAAAATATGCCATTTACAAAAGCATTAACACAATGAAATAAAGGAAGGCTAGAATATCATCTTTTTTTTTAAGAAACTGACAGCAAGAATGAGGGGGAAAAAAGATACTAAAGAACACTAGAAAAGTAAATGACAGGCTGGGCGTGGTGACTCATGCCTGTAATCAGGTCAGGAGTTTGAGACCAGCCTGGCCAACATAGCGTCCCTACTAAAAATACAAAAATTAGCTGGGTGTGGTGGCACGCGCGTGTAGTCCCAGCCACTCGGGAGGCTGAGGCAGGAGAATGGCTTGAACCTGGGAGGTGAAGGGTGCAGTGAGCTGAGATCACGCCATTGCACTCCAGCCTGGGTGACAGAGCAAGACACTGTCTCAAAAACAAAAAAAAAGTAAATGACATACTAAAAATTAGCAAAGAAAACAGAAATACAGATGGCTAAGCAAGCACAAGAAGCTGAAATAAATGCAAACACCATTTGTGCAGTCCAGCAGATTACCAATGAAGTAGACAAACAAATACTCCTATGGTTCTCCTAGTCTAAAAAATCTAATCAAGAAAATTTCCCCCAATTCCCATTTTCAAAACTATTTTAGAAATGTGTTCTCATGGAAAATCAGAGGCTACTCAAGATATACAGGCAGCATATAGGTCCCCAACTACCTCAAATTTTCACCTTTTTTGGTCCTGTAAAAGTATAGCAAGGTAGTTAGGGAGAAGAGCAGAAACTGCTCCACATCCTTTAAAAACACATGCTAAATCTACTTCTGAGTTTCTACTGACTTAAATTTCTATACAATGGTGTAAAACTGTAATGATAAATTAAGAGATCTAGAATTCAAAATTTTTAAATTTAATGTAAAAAGTGGAAAAACATCTTTAAAACACATTATGAATAAGGAAAGAAAACCCAGACTTTTTAATATTTTATCATTTTGCTTTAACATATAACACTAGGAAAACAAGAAAGTAGGAACAAAAAGAAAAGACTCCACAATAAATGAGTTAAGGATACAAGGCGAATGTTCAGAAAGGAACCTCATCTATAATACAAATATGTGAATAAATATTAAACATTCCCTGTGATCAAAAAATAATAGGGTCCCTCCCTGCTGGCCAACTCCGGCAGAGGGCTACAAAATTTAAAAAATAATAATAAAAATAAAACATAGTAAGACCAAATTTTCACCCAATAGGGCTTTTAAAAATAATAATATACAATGCTTATGACTGTGCAGTTAAACATATAAATTGAGGAAAAGGTAAACTAATATTTACCAAGTGACTACTATGTATCATGCACTGAATAGGTCAATGGGCCTCACAAATACTTTATGCAGTAAGTATTAATCATCCTAATTTTAACCAGATTCAGAAGGACTAAGTCACTTCGTCTACGAAATTAATCCAACATAAGAACAAATTGATGTAATATTTGTTGAGGCCGCTAGGTAAGAAAAATCTAGAAACAAAATACCCCATACTGGCCAGGCGCGGTGAGTCATGCCTGTAATCCCAGCACTTTGGGAGGCCAATGCAGGCGGATCATCTGAGGTCACGAGTTCAAGACCAGCCTGGCCAACATGGTGAAACCCATCTCCACCAAAAAATACAAAAATTAGCCAGGTGGTGGGTGCCTGTAATCCCAGCTACTTGGGAGGCTGAGGCAGGAGAATCACTTGAACCCGGGAGGCAGAGACTGCAGTCAGCTGAGATTCTGCTGCTGTACTCCAGCCTGGGCAACAGAGCGAGGCTCTGTTTTTAAAAAAAAAAACCAAACTACCCAATACTAAGGAACTGAGTAAACAATAGTGCAAACTTGTTGATAAAGTATTAGTCACCTAAAATTATAATTATGAAGGCTATATACTAACATGGAAATACTAACATGTTTGGTGAAGTATATGCTATGGTTTAACTATGGGGTTGTTTTTTCTTTGCCAGTTATCCAGTATAGCTTTGGCATTTGAGGATTTGAAATTGACCATTTATAAATGATTCATAAGTACATGACAAGTAACATTTTGAAATTTTGTTAAGACACAGATATAAATCCTATACCCTGTGACTCCACTGTATTAGGGGAAAAAAAAATCAGGGCCAGGTGTGGTGGCTCAAGCCTGTAATCCCAGGACTTTTGGGAGCTGAGACGGGGCGGGATCATGAGGTCAGGAGATCGAGCGCCCTGGCTAACATGGTGGAAACCCCGTCTTCTTACTAAAAAATACACAAAACTAGCCAGGAGTGGTGGTGGGCACCTGTAGTCCCAGCTACTCTGAGGCTGAGGCAGGAGAATGGCATAAACCCCAGGAGCGGGCTGCAGTGAGCTGAGATCTGGCCACTGCATCCAGCCTGGCGACACAGCAAGACTCCGTCTCAAAAAAAAAAAAAAAAAAAAAAATCAGCCTGTGGGAATGAGCTTAGCTACCATTCAACTTGTTGTTTCTATGTCTATTTTTATCAAGGTCAGTACGCTTTAACTCTCCATTATCCTTTTAAAGAAGACTGGCAAAACGCCGTCTCTACTAAAATACAAAAAAGTAGCCGGCGTGTGGCATTCAACCTATGAATCCCAGCTACTCAGGGAGCTGAGGGACGGAGGCTTGCCTGAACTCGGGAGGCAGAGTTGAAGTAGCCGAGATCCGTGCCACTGTAATGCACTCCACCCTTGCTGACAGAGTAGACTCTGTCTCCACAAAACAAAAACAAAACGAAAAAAAAGGCACTTAACGCTTCAGCTTATACCTTTACACTGCAACATTGTAGACAAAGTTGAGTGGGCCGTGGCGACGGCGCCTGTTAATCCCAGCAGTCTTGGGAGAAGGCTAAGGGGGTGGACCACCAAGTTGGGACCAGCCCTGTGGCCTGATGGGTGAACCCGGTCTTACTAAAACTACAAAATTACGCCCAGGGGCAGTACAGGCACCGTGATCCAGCTTTCAGAGGCAAGGGCAGGAGAACTGCTTGACCTGGGTGGGCAAGAGGCTGCAGTGAGGCTGAGGATCACGCCCTGCACTCCAGTCAGGTGACAAGAGTGGAGATTGTCTCGAAAAAAAAAAAAAAAGGCCGAGCAAGTGGCTTTCACGTCGGTATTCCAACACTTGGGAGGCGAGGCAGGTGTGATCATGAGGGTCAGGAGTTCGGGAACAGCCTGACCAAGATGGAGAAACCCATTGCTAACAAACTACGAATTAGGGGGGCACGGTTGGTGCGCGCCTTGATCCAGCTACAGGAGGCTGAGGCAGGAGAATCGCTTGAACCCAGGAGGTGGAGGTTGCAGTGAGCCAAGATCGCGCCACTGCACTCCAGCCTGCGCAACAGAGCAAGACTCCGTCTCAAACTGAAAATTAAAAAAAAGTTGTATTGGACTCGGGTTTATCATATTGCTGAACATGTCGATTACAAATGAATGTTATATATGAACAAAAGAAAAAATATTCCCAAATGAAAAGTTATGTTTGAATATTATGAGTGATTGCTCCTTCAGTTGCTTTAATTACAGAAAGTGTGGAAGGGAAGTAAGATAAAAGGTAGGCAGTAGGTTAACATCTCTCCACAAATGGTCACAGCTACTGAAAACTAACCATGAGTGGGAAGGAACCAAGAAGAAGTCATGTCTTGGGACACCAAAAGCAAAGGTGATATAGGATATATTTTTTGAGCTTGAAAGGGGAAGCAGTTTTTTTTTTGGAGACAGAGTCTTGCTCTGTCACCCAGGCTGCAGTACACAGTGGTGCAATCTTGGCTTACTGCAACCTCCATCTCTCAGGTTCAAGCAATTCTCCTGCCTCAACCTCCGGAGTAGCTGGGATTATAGGTATGCACCAACTCACCCGGCTAATTGTTGTGTTTTTAATAGAGACAGCTTTCACCATGTTGGCCAGGCTGGTCTGGAACTCCTGACCTCAGGTGATCTGCCTGCCTCGGCCTCCCGAAGTGCTGGGATTACAGGCGTGAGCCACTGTGCCTGGCCAGGGAAAGTAGTTTCTATCTTTAAAAACTATGAATAATTTATTCACCCAAAATTAGAAGTTTGCCTTTAAGAAATCCCTACAAATTATCTTAAGGGCATTAGCATGACAACGTATAACCCGGATATTGTGAAGATTTGATTCTTGCTTCTCATTTAGCCTCTCCCATCTTCAAATGATTCACATGCTGGAAAGTCTGGGTTCAGTTTAGTTTTTCCCCAAGGCCTCTATCTTTTCCCAGGTATTAAATAGCTCCAGACTGGCCTCACCTGTAAGGTTGATGTCTCCCAGCAAATCAAGAAGTTCTCCACCAGCAGAAGATGGTTTGCTTGTAGGTGCAGTTGGAATAACAGGTGTTATGTCATTTCCTCCCAACAAATCCAATAAATCATTGGCCTAAACAAGGTAACAACACCTCAATTCATTATTATTTGTCTAGTTTACATCTAAAGCAAAGCTCTTTCAATATGTAAAAATAAGGAAGGAAATCATCAACCAACCCAGGAACATTAACAGGACTCAGCTAAGAGACAAGCTATAAGGGACTATAAAATCATAAGAAGCCCCAGATGAGCAAGTGAAAGGCTGGCTACCTGGCTGGTGGGCTGTGGCCCAGAGGGTGGCGGTTTGGTCTCTAGTGGAGCTGGTTCTGTCTCTCCATTTGTCTGCACAATCTCAGTAGGGCCATTTGTGGTCACTTTTTCCATGACAGGCATTCTCTCAAGTAGAGCAGACCTAGAAGAATCTGAAGTGGTTAAATTCTAGGCAGTTAACCTAGATTCCCTACCCAAAATAATCACCATTAACTATGTTGAGCCCAAGCATGGAGCTCCATCTCCCCTCCCCATCCAACACACACACTAAAATAGAAGGTAGATTACAAGAATACATGACCTAAATTCCTGGCTGGATTAAGGGCAGACAAAAAAATCTTGAATAAACAGACTGTCCAGCTAAATCCCAAAGCATGTATTTCAGTGGTAGGGAGATTGAGATGAAAGAAAGGTAAATCCATAGGTATTAACAGTCAAGAAGATACTGCATAATAGAAGAAAACAAGACGACAAACACTAAAATGTTAACAGTAATGGAATTTGAATGAGATTATTTGTCTTGAAAAAATACAACTCCTAATTTTTTTTTTTTGAGACAGAGTCTCACTCTGTCGTCAGGCTGGAGTGCAGTGGCATGATCTTGGCTCATTGCAACATCCACTTCCCAGGTTCAAATGATTCTGCTGCCTCAGCCTCCCGAGTAGCTGGGACTACAGGCGTGCGCCACCACGCCCAACTAATTTTTTTGTATTTTTAGTAGAGATGGGGTTTCACCATGTTAGCCAGGACAGTCTCAATCTCTTGACCTCGTGATCTGCCCACGTTGGCCTCCCAAAGTGCTGGAATTACAGGCGTGAGCCACCACACCCGGCCTCCCGCTTCTTAACTAAATAAAATAGAAAATAAAGCAAAATTTCCATACCAAAAAAATGTAAGGGTTGGAGGTGGAATGAAAGAAGGGAGTTAATTTATTTCTTTAGAGACTAGGCAGAACAGAAGACGGACAAAACAGAAGCAGTCAAGCAATTAGAACTAAATAGGGATATGAGGACCAATTAATAAAGCACAAGGAATGAATCTTCTTTATGGATTACCATGACAATTTAGCCAGGATGCTAAGATATACACGCATTGCTTAGTTTCTTTCGCTCACCTCATGTGGTCATATTTCTTGAAAAGTGCATTATATTCTACTGCCCTCTGCTGGAGTTCCACATCAATGCTGCTTCCATAGATGGAAACCACTTTCTTAATTCGGCTATAGGATAAAATGACAAACAAAATCAAATACCCAAAAGCAAATTCACAAATAAGCAGAGATAATGTTTAATAAGCCAGAATTTTCTGGTTATAATACTGAAATACTCATCTTTTCTTAATTTATATAATTTTTCAAAAACAAAACACTTCATTTTCATCCATTTATCTGACATTCACATGACACTATTCTCATTGCAACACTAGATTTTTGTCCATTAAGCATGCCGCCCCCATTCTGCAGCAACGATGGTGTGGAAAAAACATATATATATGCCACTCCCTAAACTCTGCTAGACAAAAGTACCAACTATTACTCTGCTACAAAAAAAATCTGTACTGTTCATTCTCTTCTTTGATAATTTTAAAATAATTTTTAATCTATAAAAGGGTCAAAGCATCAAAATGTTGACCCCACATTCTTCCAGTTCAAAATTTTAAAAGTAATTCAATACCATTTTTTATAAGACTTCACATTTAAAAGTGAAGCAGAAAGACTACAAGAACTAAGTTTGCCTTAAATATGGGAAACTGACCTGAGAATCTAATTTATTCAAAATAGCAAAGAGAAGAATTAAAAGATTTAATCACCAAAACATTCATGATTGTATTCCTATTAAGACATGTCAAAATATAAAAAACCAAAACCTTGGCCAGATTACAAGGTCAGGAGTTCGAGACCAGTCTGGCCAAAATGGTGAAACCCCATCTCCACCAAAAAATACAAAAATTAGCCAGGTGTGGTGGTGCGCGCCTGTAATCCCAGCTACTCGGGAGGCTAAGGCAGGAGAATTGCTAGAACCCTGGAGGTGGAGGTTGCAGTGAGTCGAGATCGTATGCCACTGCATTCCAGCCTGGGCAACAGAGCAAGACTGTCATCAAACAAAATGAAATATAAAATACAAATAAACCAAAACCTTTATGTGGGGAAGTAGATTCTCAACTTAAAAAGAAAAAAAAAGGTATTAGAAATCTCATTCTAAAAACGTAACTTTTAGGCCAGGTGGAGTGGGTCACATCTGTAATCCCCGCACTTTGGGAGGCCACGGCAGGAGAATCGCTTGAGCCTAAGAATTCAAGACCTGCCTGGGCAACAAACAAAAACATTTTAAAATTTTTTCTCTACAAAAAAATTGGCCAGGCGCGGTGGCTCAAGCCTGTAATCCCAGCACTTTGGGAGGCCGAGACGGGCGGATCACAAGGTCAGGAGATAGAGACCATCCTGGCTAACATGGTGAAACCCCGTCTCTACTAAAAAGAAAAAAAATTAGCCGGGTGTGGTGGTGCGCGCCTGTAGTCCCAGCACTCAGGAGGCTGAGGCAGGAGAATCGCTTGAACCCAGGAGGTGGAGGTTGCAGTGAGCCAAGATCGCGCCACTGCACTCCAGCCTGCGCAACAGAGCAAGACTCCGTCTCAAACTGAAAATTAAAAAAAAGTTGTATTGGACTCGGGTTTATCATATTGCTGAACATGTCGATTACAAATGAATGTTATATATGAACAAAAGAAAAAATATTCCCAAATGAAAAGTTATGTTTGAATATTATGAGTGATTGCTCCTTCAGTTGCTTTAATTACAGAAAGTGTGGAAGGGAAGTAAGATAAAAGGTAGGCAGTAGGTTAACATCTCTCCACAAATGGTCACAGCTACTGAAAACTAACCATGAGTGGGAAGGAACCAAGAAGAAGTCATGTCTTGGGACACCAAAAGCAAAGGTGATATAGGATATATTTTTTGAGCTTGAAAGGGGAAGAAAATATAAGGCCCAGGAACAATTAGGACAGGACGAAACATGGACAATATAAGGGACTGTGCCCAGAGGTAGCCGCTCACCTTCGCCACTCTAGTGGAGCGGTTCTCGCTCTCTCCATTTGTCATGACCCATACACACACAGCACATTATGTCACTTTTTTCCCACGAGAGACAAAGAGCATAAACCTCAATCACACCAAAAAATACTGAAGTGGTAAATTAAATTACATAGGCAGTTAACGCGGAGATCTACACCAAAATACATCCACCATTAACCTATGTTGCAGCCCAAGCATGGGCGAGCTCCATCTCCCTCAACACACACACTAGAAAATAGAAGGCTAGATTACAAGAATACATGACCTAAAATTCCCGGCCTGGATTAAGGGCAGACAAAAAAATCTTGATAAACACCCAACACACTTCAAGCATTCGAGAGAGAGATTAAGAAGAATCCATCAGGTATTAACAAACGTCAAAAACTCAACACAGAACAAGACACATAAACAGATAAAATAAATATGAAATTGCAAAACACACACAAATATAGAGAGAACAGAGTCTCAACATACTATACACCATAAAAACAGCCCAGAAGAGAGACATAACATGATCTTGGCTCATTGCCAACATCCACTTCCCAGGTTAAAATGATTCTGCTGCCTCAGCCTCCGAGTAGCTGGGACTCACAGGCGTCGCGCCAACGGCCCAACTAACTTTTTTTGTACACATCTTTAGTGACCAGCACACACACACAACACATAGAAGACAACAGCCAGCGACACACCAAATACAACACCTTAACAACAAAATCAAAACACACATAAAACAAACCAAGTGAAAGCCATTACAGGCTGAGCCACCACAAAAACCAAAAAAACAACAAAAAACGCTCCCGTCGGCCAAGCCACACAGCTTCTAACTAAATAAAATAGAAAACTAAAAAAGCAAAAATTTCCATAACCAAAAAAATGTCACGGGTGAGTGGGAATGAAAGAAGGAGGTTATTTATTTCTTAGAGACTAGGGCAGAACAGAAAGACGGACAAACTAGAAGCATCAAGCAATTAGAACTAAATAGGGAATAATGAGGACCAATTAATAAGCACAAGGAATGAATCTTCTTTATGGATTAACCATGACAATTAGCCCAGGAATGCTAGATATAACCGACATCTGCTTTAGTTCTCTTTAGCTCACCTCAAAATCGTGGTCATATTTCCTTGAAAAGTGCATTATACTCCTACATGCCCTCCTGCTGGAGTTCCACATAATTGCTGGCTTTCCATAGATGGAAACCACTTTCTTCAATTCGCTATAGGAATAATAATGACAAACCAAATCAATACCCCAAAAGCAAATTCAAATAAGCAGAGATAATGTATAATAAAGCCAGATTTCGGTTATAATTACTGAAATTCTCCATCTCTTTGCCTTAATTTATAGGTATTTTTCAAAACACAAAACACTTATTTTCATCCATTTACTCTGACATTCAACATGACACTATTGCTCATTGCAACACTAGATTTTGTCACATTAAGCCCATAGCCCGCCCCATTCTGCAAGCAAACGTGGTGTGGAAAAAACATAATATATTGCCCACTCCCTAAACTCTGCTTAGACAAAGTACCACTAGTTACTCTGCTACAAAAAAAATCTGTACTGTTCATTCTCCCTTCTTTGATAATTTTAAAATAATTTTTTAAATCTATAAAAAGGGTCAAAGCATCAAAATGGTTGACCCCACCATTCGTTCCAGTTCAAAATGTTAAAAGTAATTCAACTTACCATTTTTGTATAAGAACTTCACATTAAAAGTGAAGCAGAAAGACTAACAAAACGTAACGTTTGCCTTAAATAATGGGAAACTGACCTGAGAATCTAATTTATTCAAATAGCAAAGAGAAGAATTAAACGATTTAATGCACCAAAAATTCATGATTGTATTCCTATTAAAGACAATGTCAAAATATAAAAACCCAAAACCTTGCCAGATTACAAGGTACAGGTAGAGCTTCGAAGACCAGTCTGGCAAAATGGTGAAACCCCATCTCCACCAAAAAATACAAAATTAGCCAGGCGTGGTGGTGCCGCCCTGTAATCCCCAGCTACTCGGCGAGGCTAAGGCAGAGAATTGGCTAGAACCCTGGGAGGTGAGGTTGCCAGTGAGTCGAGATCGTATGCCACTGGCATTCAGCCTGGGCAACAGGAGCAAACTGTCATCAAACAAAATGGAAATATAAAAGTTACAAATAACCAAAAACCTTGCTATGTGGGGACAGTAATTCTCACATTAAAAAGAAAAAAAAAGGTATTTAGAAATCTCATTCTAAAAACGTAACTTTAGGCCAGGTGGGAGTGGGTCACATCTGTAATCCCGCACTTTGGAGGCACGGCAGCAGATCGCTTGGCCCTAAGAATTCAACGACCTGCCTGGCAACAAACACAAAAACAACCTTTTAAAAATTTTTTCTCTACAACAAAATTGGCCAGCGCGCGGTGGCTAAAGCCTGTAATCCCCAGCCTTTTGGGAGCCGGACGGGGGACACAAGGTCAGGAGATAGAACCATCCTGGCCTAAACATGGTGAAACCCGTCCTCTACTAAAAAGAAAAATACCAAAAAACACGTAGCCTGGGCGACGGTGGAGGGCACCTGCAGCCCAGCTACTGCGGGAGGCTGAGGCAGGAGAACTGGCGTAACCCCGCGAGGCAGGCCGGAGCATTGCAGTGAGCCGCAGAGATCTGGCCACTTGCGCTCCAGCCTGGGTGAACAGAGCGAGACCTCCGTCTCAAAAAAAAAAAAAAATTTAAAAATTACCCAGGCACATTGTGTCCGTC